GGAGAGCGCGCACGGGCCGCCCTGCCCCGTGCGCATCGCACCCCGCACCCGCCCGGCAGCACAGGGGGGAGAGCCCTGGCAAGGGCTTTTTTCCCCCCGCTTGGTTCCTCTCTCACTTGCAGCCTCCAGTCTAGGAAGTACGGATTCAAAGGCTGCATCGCCAGCGCCGGTGCTCAGGAGCCCCTGGCGCCCCTTTCCTCCCAGGAATGTGTCCTTTTGAATCTACCCCCCACAACCAGCTCCACACGTTAAGGACCCGCTGCGTGACAAACAGCTGCCTCGCCTTAGTTTGAAACTTTCTCGTTTCCTTTTGTGCCTCCTCGTCTTGTGAGAGAGAATAAAAAATAAATCCCTATCAACTTTCTCCTAACCTCTTAGTATTTGTAAACCCTTCTCCTGGCACCCCCTCAAGCATCTTTTTCCTAAACAGAATAGGCCTCTTCAGGTTCTCCTCCTAAGGTGTGTCTATAGGTGCTGATTTAAGGCGCATCAGCCATTTTTAAGGTGCATGAAGGATGTGGGTCTACACGTCTGCACCCTTACTGCGACTCAAAAATGGCAGTTTTAGGCTATTTGTGCCTAAATTTGATACCTGCAAAAGCAGGTATCAAATTTAGGCATGATTAGCTAAAGCACCTTAACACACATGTAGATGTGCTAAGGCGCATTGACACTGTGTATGTGGACAGTGCTGGTATCAAATTTAGGCACAGATAGCCTAAAACTGCCATTTTTGGGGTACATGGTGTACTCGTGTAGACCCATGTCCTTCATGCACCTTAAAAATGGCTGGTGTGCCTTATATCAGCCCGTAAAGACACACCCTATGAGGAGACACTGAAGAGGCAAAAGCAGGTATCAAATGTAGGCACAAATAGCTAAAGCACCTTAATGCACATGTAGACGTGCTAAGGCGCATTGACACTGTGTATGTTGACTGACTTGGGCCTGACTTTAGTCTTAAATCGGTCTGCCTACCACATTAATTCACTTTAATGTGGCTCCCCCTCTTCTGTTTCACAGCTCTGCAGGCTGTTTTTAGCTGAAGCTAAAAACCTCAACTCAAAGGTGGTTATATTAACTTTGGTGTATAAATGACTGTCCGTGGAGCACTGGAGGCACTGTCAAGATACAAGAAGGCTAGATTTTGTTTTATGAATCTGAATAAGAACTGTACCTTTAACTATAATGACTGTAGAACTGATGACACAATACATCTTTTGACTAGTTTGGCTATATTTTGCCTAGTTGTGTTTTTTAAAGCTTTATATATAATCTATCAATTAGTGAAGTTCCTCAAGACATGAAGGATGCAAGCATAGTCACTATAGACAAAACAAAGGTGATATGAGCAATAGCAGTAACTATCGCGATATATCCTTCCTATCATTGGGAAGCTGGTCACCAAAGTCATTCTGCTAAGGCTGCAGAGACCCTTGTGGACAGAGTCTACCTTGAGTCTCAATGTGGCTTCAGCTCTGGTAAATCCATGATGGGTACGATATTCTCCTTGAAACAGCTACAAGAGAAGTGCTGTGAACAAAAGAAATCTGCGTATATAGCATCTGTTGATCTCACCGAAGCTTTTGATCTTGTCAGCAGAGATGTTTTTTTCTGAATCCTGAGAAGACTAGCTGCCTTCCTAACCTCCTGAGCATCATCAAGTCCTTCCGTGCTGGTATGCATAGAATGGTGTAGTTTGATGGGCCATGTTCAGAAGAATTTGAAATCAAGAGTGGTGTCAAACAGGTCTGTGTCCTAGCTCTGATGCTTTTTGGGATTTTCTTTTCTTTGCTGTCCTACTCAAATATGCATTCAGTGGCTATTCAGAAGGAGTATACCTTTGGACCAGATCCAATAGAAAACTCTTTGACCTCAATCGTCTCAAAGTGAAAACAAAAACCCGAGAAGTTTTTGTCCATGAAATGCTTTTTGCCGACAATGCAGCAATTGTTAGTCATTTAGAAGCAGGATTGCAAAGTCTCACAGATCACTTTTCTCATGCTTGTGATGATTTCAGTCTGACCATTAGCCTAAAGAAACCAGTAGTTGTGGATCAACAACTTGAAAATTAAAATAAATGATGAAAATTAAAATAAATGATGAAAGCCTGGAAGTGGTTGAAAAACTCACTTTCATCTTGCAAAATCTTGGCTTGGAAGCTAAAATGAAATTAACACTTGCATTGGAAAGGCAAGCAATGCCATGGCTAACCTTTAAAAGAGAGTTTGGAAAAACAGAGTGCTCATTCTATCAAAAAAGAGGTCTGTCTACAGCGCGTGTGTACTTGGCTCTCCATTGTACAGCAGCAAAATGTGGAGTCCTTAAGCCAAGGAAGAAAGAAAACTGAACAGTTTCCAGCTTTGATGTCTCCACCATATCCTGGACATAACATGGCATGACAAAATTTCCAACTTTGCTGTTCTGGAACAGGCCAAGACACCCAGTATGTTCATGCTCCTGAGACAGGGACACTTCTGTTGGTTAGGACATGTGAATCATGTGAACAATGGCCAAATCCTCAAAGATATACTCTACGGTGAGCTGGTCACTGACAAATGTCAACTTGGATGGCCAAAACTCCAGCTTGTTGATGTCTACAAGAAAATCCTTTGTGAGCTGCGCATCACTGGCCAATACTGGGCATCAATTGCTTTAGACCACTGGAAGTGGAAAGTCCCCGTGAAGCAGGGCCTACGTCACTTTGAGGTGGAGAGGGTCAATGATGAGATAGAGAAGAGGTGTAAGAGGCAGGCAAGACTCTGCATGCCAGCACAAGCTCAACTGAGTTTGTAAGTGTAACTTTCTGGAGGGTCTGCTTGTTGCACATCAGACTCCTTGGCCACTCAGGAAGTTGTGGTAGTACCTGGTAATCCACCAAGGGTGCAACCTCCATGGTCTCTCAAGACTGATGGCTGCCAATGATATAATCTATCAAATTAGTATACATTCCAGCAGTTACATTTGTTTTTACTTTGATCTTAAATGGAATAATATAGTGCTAGTCCCCTAGCATATTAGTAAAGCACGTAGTTTCACTTTAACTGGAAAAAATGTGTGTTGAGTTATAGGTGATGATGTGCCTCCTATCTACACCACTCTCTTCAAAAACCTAGATCTGCCTATGACTGCCTCATATGCTGTTAAGACCAGATTTTCCAAAATGCTATCTTTGTCAGAAGACTGAGAAGAGCTCACTGTAGCACTGTAGTTATCTTTACACTGGCCAGGTTGTCTCCATTTAGTTGGCAGCAGCAAGAACCAAGAGAACCCACCCTGAACACTGAGAACTGCTGGTGCAAAGCTCTTTAAATGTTTTGTATTTAGGTGCCAACATGGCCAATATTAACTT